ACTTCTCTTTACATCTGAAATGATTTGAGAAAGCATAAGAAGAAAGCTCAGCATAAGAAAACCTATGTTGGTATCTATTCCAGTAGTCCTTGTCAGTATCTCCAGATTTGCATTTCTATTATACCATAAGAGTGGAACTAATAATATGAGATTTAGATAAATGAGTAATGCTTTAATCTCTTTCAATACTCTCATTCATTCATGCATTCAGGGACTTCCATATAGAATGCAAAATATGAAAAGGTATTCAAATTTCATTGCAAGGCTCTCTGGACCAATTAGCATTTGCAGACCAATAAATTTTTTACACACACCTCTTAGAAAGCACAATAAAATTGTACTTCTTTCAAACAAAACTCTCATTCCTCCATTATCAATTTAAGTACCATGAGCAACATAATTCCAAGCAAAACCTCAAAAAACTTTCCTCAAAAACATCTGTTTTTGAGAATGCAGTGTTATGCAGGCAAAGAAGTTAACACTTTCATTCCAAAGGATTGAGAAAGATTCTCTGAGCCTGCAAGCTCTTCTCTCATGAAAAATTTCTAAATCCAAAGGCAAAACCTACATTTTGATTTTAAAAAGCAGCTTAAGACAAACTCAAGCACCAAGCCCTTGACTTTCCAGAAATTAAAAGGTAAAAAAAAAGCCACATTGGAATTATAACTACTCAATTTAGCAGATGAACATTTTGATTTAAAGCAAGTACACCTGTTCCAATGGAACAAGTGTACATGCTTTAAATGTACCCCTCTACCCCATGTGATGAACTCATAGAAACTGTCTACCTCATACTCCCATTAAGAGAATAAAAAAGAACTCATACCATATCAAATGCAATGAAATATATACTTTGACTTTTAGTGCAACAATTTACCAACTGGAAGAAAGTATTCATCAGCTTTCATTTTATCAGTGGGCCTTGGACTGCATATTGCTTGTGAATTGCATATTCCAACTGACGCTTGACATTTTTTTATACTGATCATCCATCTAATTATATTTACTCTCAAGCTGTAAGTTTTTTCTCCAGAACATGTTTTCTTTGAATTCTGCCTGCATCCAAATCATTTCATCACCACATTTGACTCAAGAATCATCTGGTCTAGCCTACATGTTAGAGAATGAAATAACCAATAGAATTACTGAGGCAATTCTTAGCCATTAGCTTCAGTGAGACATTTCTACATGAAAGGAATGAAAAATATTGAATATGATGAAATTCATATCCATCATTTATGGCAGCAAGATCCAGTTTTCTTACTAAGTTAACCCCTTTCCAGGGGAATCTATATCTCCTCTCTGCTCATTTGTTGGGGGATTTTTCCTTGCTGAGCCTGACAGGTAACATACTACTCTATTTAATAACTTTAAAATGTTCACAGGAGGAAACATTACACTGATATGAGTTCCTTGATGAGTGCATACCTTAAAATTAAGGGAACATACCCACTAAGAGGAAGCAAGACAATGATGTCTAAAGGTGTTGTACCTAGACAAGGGGTTAAGTAAAAAAAAAGTTTTCAAGTACAAATGACTCAATGAAATTAGATAAAAATGCAACTGTCCAAGAAGTAGTCAACTCAAAAGGCTGAATGTAGGTCAGTTTTTTTGCTTAAGTTCAATCCTAGATTCTTATAGGAGGATTTAGGAAACATTCCACAATTCATCAAGTCCCTCAGCAATTGCCGAGAACACGAGTAAAGGAGCAATATCTATTTCAAAGGGAAAAATCACTGGTCTAACTTATGGCCTTAAGCATGAACCTGAGCACTTAAGGAACCACTGGACATAAAACTTCATAATTGGAAGCACTTCCCTTGCCACATAATGTACACCATGCCTGCATAGCCAAGTAGAACACAATCCAATATCTACCTGAACAGAGATTACAGCACTCTCCCATAGTACCAAAAACAGCATTCAAGTAAGGCATTGAATCACAATTGGAAGGTAGTCAGGTACAGTCAGCAGGATGTGATATGAGCTCAGAAGGAAGATGTAGACAGAATCACTAGGTACTGAGGTAGAATATGGAATCTTTCAAGTTTTCCCAAAGATACCATCAGGTAGCAGATCCATAGAATGAAAATGCTCATGCACATACTTTCATTACAGTATTGGCTCCTGTAAATTATCTCAACCCATTCTTCTAAGTAATATTACAGAAACAACACAGGCCTTTCCAAATATCAAATATTTCCATAGTGAACTTGTTATTTGCACCTTCAGCAAGAAAACATCTGTGTGCAGGTCATGCCAGAAGCACATAGCTTTCAGCAATGGAAAAGATTTGAGAGAAAAGAGGCACAAAGTATTTAAATGAAGTTGGAGCCCTGGGGCTTTGCAACCTTAAATGTAATAACTTCAGAGCCAGTCAGTAAGTATTTCTTATCTCACAGATGACACTCAGAGTTGAAGGCTGAGGAACCACAGGGGAACTCAAAATATCATCGCTTACAGGGAATACAGGAAAATCTGTACATCATATGATACTGCTGCCTCCTCACCTGACTTTCCTGTTTCAGTGACATAGATCTACATTATTCAAGATTTTTCAATGACTGACCTCGAAACAGGCAGTTGAAGACTAAAGGTGGCATGTATGATGATGGAGAAGTAATTCTAAACACTGATTCTCCTGGAACCCAATATGAAATTGAAGGTGATAGCAGAGAAGCCCCATCTGCCATTCCATCTCCCTTGCAGGCCCTTCAAATGCAGGTGCTTGCTGATCCACTCCACTACACAAACACATTGTCATAAAATAGGTAAAAAGGAAAATTAACTCCTGCAACATATGTTAACAAGCATGTTCCAATGTACACCTCCTCCACTGGAGGCCAATGAATCTTCATGCATGTAGAGTAGGAGAAAAGACTTGAAAGACAGTCTCAAAGGGATACCTGGGAATGGATATCTGATGCAGATTTTTTGAGCAGCAGACAAGTAATAATGGCAGAAGCTTCTTGAAAATCCTAATCAAATGCCATTACTCAGAAGGAATTCTCCATGCCATAAAGAATCCAGGAAGTATGACAAGTATTGCTTCAAATTTCCTGGCAGCTTCCTTTTGCTTCTTTTCTGTAGCATTTATTCATTCTGCTCCAACTTGTACTTCCTCCCAAGGGCATGTCATAATGGGAAGCTTTACTTGATCACTGCTTCAATAGGATGTTATCACCAACCACATCCTCAACAGCCAGTTAGTTCAATAAAGTTCCTCATTTTGGCTCCAGCAGAAACATTTGCTGAACTAAAATAGAAGAATGGTAGACACACATTTGATAAACCACTGTTCAAACTGTTCAACCACTGTTCTTTCCTGTCAAGGAAACTTAGTTTTGGTCACAATGGCCCTGCAGAACATTTTCATTCTCTTTTCCCCTAATTTCCTTCAGACCTAAGGACCAGTCAAAATCAGTTCAGTTACTTGCAGGATGAAGGGTCACAATGGCTGTGCTGAATACCCTGAGGTGCCCTCTCAGAGCTCTGAGTAAATTTGAAACTACATTTACATAGTAGCTTAAAAAACTGCAGTGTGTTTGGAACATGTTTTCCTCAGGATGGTACCTAGTGGTAGATGCTTACATCAAGCATTTTCTCCTAAGTATAGAATTATTCAAGTCTGAGGTTCATCTAACTTACCAATTAGCTCAAAGCTATATGAGGACATCTGTGACAATTTGATTTGACTGCATTTGTTATTTCACAAGATACTTAAAAAAGTAAATTCAATGGTAACACAAAGGGCTTCCTTAAGGGAAACTAGTGGTTCTATGAAGATTTCACTTATGCCCTTCAGGTGGGAGTCCATCACACTCTTAATGGTTCTTGGATGTCCACCTACTCATGTTGGCATTCTGGTGACCCTAATTTCTATTGATGGAACTGCCAAGCCCGAACATAAGTCCCTCACATTTATCATAGAAGCACATCTAGGCCCAACTTAGGCCAAAGAACTTCCATCTCATGACTCCTTTGGCCGTTTAACTGAGTATCGCCTGAATCCAAGTTTAAAATGGGCATGGCGACAGACATCTCAAGCCACCGAAGCCATAAAAAAAAACCCCAGGAACTATAGAAATTAGGCGAGCGAGAAACTCGTAAGTGCCACATGCCTGCCGAACCCCAACCAAGCGGCACAGCCTAACAGTCAGGCTAGCCAGGAGTTGGGATTTCTCCAGGCCTGCTTGAGAGCCTCCGCGCCGAAACCACGATGTCCCTTCCGATTTCTTACCACCCTGTGCATAGTTCTTCACATACAGTGCTTTGCGAATGAATTCGCCCCACAATGGAAACAGCACCATACAAATGGTGCCCATGTTAAAGGTTTTAAAATGGCTTTTTAATTCCGCCGCTCGTAATCCAACCGAGCGAATTCAGCCGTCTAAAATGAACTGCTCCCGCCTGAATCAGCGACTCAAGCGGGAGCGAAGCCCCTCCCGCATTCGCCACTGTGATTGCAATCAACCAAAAATCGCTGCCCTATCTGAAAATCACGCGCGCTAACGTCGACTCGATCGACCGCCCTTTCCAACCCTCACGGACAATGCCCAAAGCGACACAAATTCGACGAAAAATCAGGGCGATTCTTCTTAAAGCCAGCATCCCGATCACGCAGTCGAGTCGACTCGTGCAAATCCATTTGGGAAGTTTTCGAGTCCTTGTGGTTCCACTGTCAATCCCGAAAAACGCGATGAAAAGAGAAGCATTGCCGCTCAGCATTCTCATCTGATTTTCGGTTTCGGTCTTGAAAAAACCGGTTCAATTTGCGATGTCCCCTAATACAACAGCTCCACAACACTAATTTCTCTCGATGCCAACGACAAATGCTCCCAGAGTAATACATCCCTCGACAAATCCACGCGAGAGATAGCGATAACGAACAGGCCTCCAACTTATCCTACGGGATTCTCACGGCAAACGCACTACGACGGAGGCGTGAAAACGTTGCGACGCGTTCACGTCCGTCCCTGAAGTGCGAAGTCATTCTTGAAATGACGTTGATTGGGTTGCCAACCCGTCCCTATGTATCGAAAACGCAAAAGAATAATAGTATCCGCGCCCAGACGAACAAGAAAACTTGCTTCCAGACCGTCCCGTTGAGAATACCTAACATAACTTTACTACAAGAGATTCCAGACGAGCGATACCTTGATTCGTTAAGGGGAATCCCATAGCTCTGGCTTGCCGTCAATTAGAGAGACTATGTGAACAGTCTCGTTAGCACTGATGCCACTTCGGACAGCAGTTTTCCTAGCAGCAAGCTGCTAAATTTGAGTGCAATTTTCTAAGAACTTGTAGAATTGACTCCGAAATCTATTTCTGTTTCTGATCGCGGAGAAATTCCTGCGATGAAATTTTGCAAGCACCTCGTCAAATTTCTCATTCTTGGACGATGTTATAGGCTTCATATTGGCTGATGCGGGATACGACGTTTGGCTCGGGAACGTGAGGGGGAACACGTACGGTCGACATCATGTCAGCTTGTCCCCCGACGACGACCAATTCTGGTCCTTCAGGTATTCAAACGCGCGTACATTTCTCTCTGGGGGTTCCATTTTCCCGCTTCCTAAACGGCAACGTCCGTCATCACGGTTAGCTTCGACGAGATGGGAGAGTTCGACCTGCCGGCGATGCTAGACAAGATGGCGGAGACGACGGGTCACGACAAATTCCACCATGTGGGTCACGGCATGGGGACGACTCTCTTCTGGGTCATGAGCGACTCGAGGCCCGAATACCGCCATCATTTTCTGTCCACACACGCCATGGCCCCCCTGGCCAGGGTCGATCATATGTCTTCTCCTCTTCTAGTCGTAGTCCCCTTCGTCGATCAACTCCAGGTCAGACAAGGATGAATAGGAACAATTTTAAAATTAGACTAATCTGGATTCCGTGTGATTTGAAGGAAGAGATCGGTGATGCAGGAGATATTCGTATGTTTCGGACACTTCCTCCCGTGAGAATGTGCCCCCAGGGCGATGTACCCAATAATAACAAATTACAAATGGCTTTTCATTAACCATTTGAACTCTAAATTTTACATTTTAAAGATGCTTGTTCCTTGGTTCGAAAAATCTTTTGAGAAAAATGCCCCCCCCCCTGAAAAATGAGCCCATAGAACATTCGCAACAAAAGCAGGATTTTTTTCAAACTGAGAAATGAGCCAGGGCAACTCGTCTACCGAATATTGGCTTAATATAATTGTCTGTTTCCGGGAGAGTAAAAATATATTGTAATATATCCCCCCCCCCAAGAAAAGACCACAGGTTTTATCGTAAAGTTGAGAATTTGCATGAAATCAGCACCACAACAGCTACTGTTATACCATGCCACATTTTTCTACCATATCTGAAAATACTCAAATTAGCGTTAGTCACGCACTCAGTCAGTCACGATCTGACGATATCCCTGGCGTTTCAAGCCACTCTCACTGTTTAGACGACGAAAAAAAGCGTATCAATGTCCACCGATATGGGAAGCTTGACCGATTTCATGAAAGCAATTTTCAAAGAGTCCAGGAAAAGGTCGAACAGTCTCCAGATGTCGGATTTGCAGTGTCCATTGCAAACCGAGTGAAACGTGTTCTCCCGACAACTTTCGGTGATGTCGGCTGATGATCGTCTCATCGGCCGACACCCTGAACCACTTTGACACCCTGAACCACTTTGACACCTTGAACCACTTTGACACCCTGAACCACTTTGACACCCTGAACCTTTGAACTTCGATCCTGGCCTGCAAGGTCGCCTCGCCCCAGTGGGCTTCGGGTTTTGGGGTCATGCGACCGACCGCATTGACCATCTGCGAACATTTTCCTTAACGAACACGAATGCATTACCTTCCCCACCGTCGAATTCATTCACGCAACGAATTCGGTACTAACGATACTCCACGGCTGGGTAAGTGAAAACGCCAGGTTATATTTGGTAACGGTTATTTATAGTGGTTGCTGGATATGCTCGGCCTGCACGAATTCCTACCGAGCCCTGCATTCTTGGAACTTTTGGCTGCATATGTCTGCGGCGAGGACTGGGAACTTCAGGACACCTGCAATCTCATGTTCATGTTATTCGGCTTCGACGGAGATCAACTGGACGACGTAAGCACGAATACTTCATTCCGCATTGAAAACCAAATGGGAGGTCCGAGCGGGAGCAAGGGAATCAACTTGATCTGGAGACACCTCGTCCCTGCTTCCTCTGGCACGACAGAGCTTGAAGGGATGAGGAGGACTCGTTCGGACCAGAAAGGAGGCGGAGTCGTCCTGTCTCTTTGGACCTCCTTCTCTTCGTCTTCTGATTCTGTTTCTTTGCTTTTCGATCCCATTGGGGAGAACCCTGAGATGTATGTGAAGACAGTGCCGCAGCTGCATCTAATGTTCAGATCCATTTTTCTCTAATTTTCCTAGGGAACGTATTTGTATATCTTCATCTTCCAAAATTCATGCCAGAAAATAGAGAGATCGAAAATCGCACCGCCTCGGGAAAAAAGCCTTCAATGGTCGAACCCCCTAAACTCGTTTGATTTCAGTCATATAAGTTTCAAATCTATTTACCGGGTTAACAGTTTTTAGTCTTTTTCTGCTTTCGCCTTGAATGGCATTCTCGAAGGCCAGCTTGGTGCATCTTTGCGAAACTCGCATGTGAAAACAGGAAAACTTTGGTCTCTTCTCCATGTTCCACACCATTAAGAAGGAATTCGGTTGCTGTAGCGACAGTCGAAATGCGACAGTGACTTCTCAGCATGAGATTGATGAAGGCAACTTCATCAAATTAGCTCATTCGGGTGAAATGGACCGCTGCCAGTTTAATATGAATGCCGTTTTGTGAGTCCTTTCGAATTTCGCAACTACTGGATTTGGATGAAGATTTTCACCTAAAATTTTGCATTTTTACTCTGAAAAGTAAAGAGAACGAATGAATTCATTTTAGATGACACATGCTGGAACGTCCGAGAAGGAACAGTTCGCCTCCCAGAGGCGCAGTGAGGGAAGGGGGGGGGGGGGGGGGGGGGGGGGGGGGGGGAGACAGTTGCCCCCAGGCGGGGGGGGGGGGGGGGGGGGGTGGGGGGGGGGGGGGGGGGGGGGGGGGGGCAGGTGGAGACAGTTGCCCCCGAGCGCTGGGCAGAGGGGGGCGGAAACTCAGGGACTGAAACTTTTGGTCCCTGAGTTTGCGCCCCCCTCAGCCAAGCGCTCGGGGGCAACTGTCCCCCCCTGCCCCCCGCTACGCCTCTGTCGCCTCCTTTCTGGTCCGGTCTGGTCCTCCTCACTCTTTCATACATCCCCCCAACACTTCCTTATAGCTGAGATTGCGAGACGAGGCTCCGCTCCTCCGTATCAGATGCCCATGAGCCAAACTTGAATGTTGACAATCTGTCCTAATTAAAACATTTGCATGAACCCGATTATAACCAATTCGACCAAAAAGGGCAAGCTCTCCACTGTCTCTCTCACCCGAACTCGTGGAACAGCGACGTGCGATACGGAAGAAGGGAATCTGCGACGAGCTGGACTAGGACCTGGTGTAAGGCCGCCCCTGTAGGTGGGATTGGTAGCAAGTGAAGCGGGTCCTCCATTTTCGGTTTTATAAGGTCGTAAAGCTGACCCCGAGAGAGGGGAACTTGGAACACTACGGCCAGGAAGAACCGCCCGAGTATGACCTTTCCAATGTCATCACGCCCGCTTTCCTCTATTGGGGCGAGGACGACTGCTTCGCCGATTCCGAGGTACGTGCATGGTCGTCTCACGATATTCCTTGATTCATATTTTATTATTATTATTATTATTAACTAAGTCTCATCTGTATTCGCAGGACGTTGCATGGTTAGCGGATCAACTACCGTGCCTGATCGATAGTTACCGAGTGTCTTTCGATGCCTGGGGTCATCTGGACTTCCTGTTTGGGATCGATGTCAAGACACTTGTCTATGACAGGTTGCTCGAAATGATGACGATGTTTGAGCCATGAGAAAAGAGATAAAAAAATAATTGCAAGAACATTTAGCGACTGCGTCTCTTGCAGCCGGCATCATCAATCCAAGAAACTCGTTTGACTCCAGAATGTTCCAACTTGAATTTTCGTCGAGACCAAAGTCGGAGCGGATGTAGGGAGACTCGAAGAACGCAATTAAACATTTTACTTATTTATTTCACGCGATTACCGTAATTTCCCATTGCAATCGTGACATTGACATTGCTTCTTTATAAGTTTTCTTCCCAATTTTTCTCGCTTTCATGCTACTTTGACGGGTAATTCATAATTGAAAAAAAAAATGGTTTACCACCAAATCGCACGTGTGACTAACGCCTTGAAGGAATGGACGAAATATGAGGTGTAATCCCGGATGATGCGACGGATTGATGAGTGGCGACGTTCCTAGCTACAGCTTTCAAAGTGTACTTGAAAGTTGTAGCCAACGTTGAAAGGTCGTTGAAAAAGCTTCCATCTTCAGCCCCTCTCCGCTTTTTAGAGTCTGGAAGGGTCTTTATTCCCAGGCGTTTATCGGGTGACAGAAATCAATCGCTAGTCGAGACATGAATATATTAGGGGGGGGGGGGAAGTTGGGGGGAGGAGGGGGGGCTTTGCAAGAGATTCTCATGTAAAGATTTGCCATCGAAATCCTTACGATTCTCGAAGACGTGCGAAGTGGCAAAATCCGGAGTTGCCAGCAAAGTGTCACCAGACACCACAAGGACCCCACGAGACGACGGAAACGCCTCGAAACGGCAGAAAACTCTCAGAAATCCACCGTCCCTGTGAAGGTGGAGTGCCCCCATATCCCCCTCATGGAATCATCCCCCCCCCCCCGGGACCCTTTCCGACGGAGATTCGCCCGACAAGCAACCAGTACTCGATGTCGGCCAGCAGTTTTCTTCGTTTTGGTCAGTGCTCAATAAGAAAATGAAATCTAGACTCTTAGAAAAAGGGGAGCGATTTTTCTCAAAAAAGAGCGTAAAATTGCAAACTCCAGTTTCATTCCCCTCTCACCCTGGGAAGGGAGCGAATCTGCACCATCACCAAGGAGTAAAAACGCTCCCCTCAGAGAGAGATAGGGATGAAATGCAAATAAGAAAATTCTTATATATACTGTGCGTCTCTTTCGCTCTCGTACAGGCGTTGACCTACCTCTGCCTGTCCTGATTACAGCACACGTCAGAGGTTGGACCACCTCTTGTAGGTGCCGTGGAGTGTCCGGGATATCAGTCCCTTATTACCTCATTTAATTGAGGTACGATTAAATGAAGTTCACGGACACTCTCTGTATATTTTAGATCTCCTAAGCGGCAAGGACCGTACGCGTTCCAAATGGGTTCTCCATAGGAATATGAGCTTGTTTTTGGCCAGGACTCTATGAATATGTCTTGAACATGTGGATAACAAATGAAGTGTCCGTGCTTATTGATTCCTATAATGAGACTAGGCGAGACATACGGCAAGGTACTAAACAATCCTGGGAGGGACGATTCCAGGGAAAGAGGGAAGGGAACTTTTGCGGACTGTGCTAAAAGCGAGACCCTTGCCTATATCTAGTGGCCTGCCGAAGAACTTCAAGGTGTTCACTTCAATACGAGCGATGAGGGAGCATTTGGTGAGTAATAAGAGAGTAAATTAGAAAAGCTCACAGTGTGCTCACTTTTTGGAACTACTAAAACACTACTGCCTACTATTTCAGTCTGGTACCCTTTTCTCTTGCTTTATCTGTATCTCCAAGTTTCGTACATGGAAATCTATTTGAAAAACTCCAAGGATATTATCAATGAAGTTTTCAAAGCATATTCATACTTCATTGGAATCGTTAGAGATTGGAAAGGTTGCACTGTCTTCGGAAATTGTTTGTAGAACTTTAACTGCATGGAATTGGAAATTGAACTGCATTCTCTCTGTATCTAGAGCTAAGTACTCAGGAGAGGTATTAATCCCCGTGTCACTGTTCCAATTCTGCCTTGCACAGACAGCCTCGAAAGGTAAAGTAACAAGGATATGAGGGAGGTTTTTGTACTGGTAACTTCACCGTCACCTTACTTGGTTTTCGTACTTTCAAAATGTGTCTGTGTGACTTCGTGAAAGGACATTTGCTGCAGCGCAGAGGAGAGACGAGGTCACTCGGACACGTTTTGAAGGTAAGATAACCAGGTAAGGTGACGGTGAAGTTACCAGTCCAAAAATCACCCTCATTGTCTTGTTACATTACCTTCCGAGGCTGGGTGTGTGTCGAAAGGAATGAAGATTCACCATTGGCGAGCATAATTTATGGACCTTTTTCCCATACTTATCGAAATTCGGAGTCTATTCCAAAGTTCTACATTTCTCACGACTGTAACATCAGAATTGAACTTTACGTGCATACCTGAATGAATTTCTGGTTACGGATGAATTAATGGTTACGTAATGCAAGGGTTCTTACCACAGGAGAAGCTGTGTTACATCAGAATCTTTGCATCTCATAGCAGACTCACATGGGACCGCGCCGAGCGATTACGGAAAATGCTAAAAAAAATTAAGCAATTATAGCCGAGGGATTCTTTTCCCCGATGGGGTTTCACCTAAATGTATGCACTCCTCCTTCCACATTCAGTATGCGAGGTAATCCATGCCTAATCCATTTCCTCGTTGAGCTTTAAAAAGTCTTCACAAGAAGAATGGACTGCGCCCTGGATTGATCGTTGTTTTCGTCGCTAATAAATTGGAGAGAAAATTTCATTTTTTATGAAAATGGAAAATAAGGGTGAAAAATATTATGTAACGAAAGCAAAAAGGTAATAAAATTAACTAAAAAATAATAATAATCTAATCTAAAAATAATCTAATAGGCATACCCGAAAACTTTTTTACTTGTCGAAGATCAAATGACGAGGGATGGGGAGGGGAGGCCAATGAGAGGGTGTTAGAAATATACGTCTCCACTGCTGCTCCTATTTTATAAAAGCTTTCGCAGGAAGCGATAATCGTCGACCAATACCCTATTACGAACTGGAATGAGTGCAAGACCTCAGGACCAAGGAACAGCAGGGATTACTACTCTTTCTTTCCGAAGGCTTTTTTTGCCATTAGGGAGTGATACCGGAAAAATCACAACCTCGCGATATTCTTTGCGTATTGGTTGGGAGAAAAGGGAGGAAAACAGGAGAGTTACCATCTCTACTCATACAAGATGTTGGATGCCTCGCAAGTGGATATTCTGAAGTATTATTGAAATATCTTTCTTTGAAATATCTATCAGTATCTTTGAATGCTGAATCCTTTTGAGCGAATGTGGAAAAAGATGGATTGTAAAACAAGGGGCAAGCATGAGAAAAAATTTTTTTTTGAGGAAGTAGTGAGACAGCGGTCTGCTGGCGCCTCGTATCTCCCATGCAGGGGAAGAAAAGTCTATACAGGAAAAAAAACAGTGAGTGAGAGAGGGAAAGAAGGATCGCGCTTCGTACAGAATGGTGGTTATTTCCAGGACAACTGGGAAAAATCGTACCATTCCTACATAATCCTACCGGTTCACCTGGAAAGGCGATGTAGGTGTCATCTCGTTATTCCATCCCATCATTGACTCGGGAAAACAGATCGTGATCGTAGACGAGAAAGGAGGCATGCAGGAAAAACGCGAGCAATTGCTGCATGATACTTCACCATGGGCTCAGTCAAATTGTTCTTGGTCTGAGAGAGACTAGCCCATGATTCGGCTGCCATTTTTCATCGTCGTCTCAAAATATATTATCCTCGTTCTGAGGATACTCGTTCCAAAGGGTTGAACTAATTCCTTATCCCGATTAGGTCTTTCTCCAAGACTCGGAGATGCAAAATATCTTAGGAAGTGCCTTCGTTTCTTGGGAGAGAATGAGGGGAGGAAATATTGAAAGCATCTCTATCTATTTAATTTGTATGCATTTTGGTCCTTTGAGCTCTCCCTGCTTGGGTAGGATAATTTGGGCTCCTTTTAGAGTTTTATGACACTGATTCATTAATCTCAAGAGTGTGAATTTTAGTTTCTTGTCTCCATTTTAATGGCCCCAAGAGTAACAGCTGTTCAGAAAGACATTAACTCGCACCCATGTTATCATAAGGAATGCCTTCATGAGGGAGAAGACAGGTTGGGGGTGAGCGGCGACGTGCCGAGGGGACTCTCATGCAGGAGGAGGAAGCGAAAGCGAAGCATTTGATGGAAAAGAACACGGCGTCATAGGTACATGATAAAAAAAAATTAATAGTGATAGGCGCCAGTTGAATTCGCGTCGGTTCTCTTCCACCTTTTCACTCACACAGACACACAATTACGAGCACGCACAAATCTGTGATGGGCGAGAGGGAAATCAAAGAGGGAAGAGCTGCGCGTGAGCATTCAAGTTTTCATGCAAATCGGTAGTTAAAGCATCGCATTCTCTATCCCTTTGGAGACAGTATACAATCTTGGTGTCATTGGATCCGTGAAACATACTTCTATGGGATGGGCACAAAAAATCCTGCTTTCTTGGCCGGTCAGGAGAGAAAATTGACCCGGAATAGAAGAAATTACCTAAATCGTCAAAAGAGGCCGCAGGAAAAATCGATGGTCTTCTAGATTAGTGGACGGATTCCCATAAAAATGTATATTAAGCTAGCTAAGAGACTTTTAAAGAGATCTACTAGATGTTTTTTTTAATTCAGCCTTTTTTTCCAGTATTGTCCGTCAACGTCACGTCCCTTCCAAAAAAGTGGAATTTTCAAGTGGATCATCGAACACAAGGGGAACGGTAGCAGGAAATCATGGGCAACTCCGCAAAAAGATGGACATATTAGCCTCTAAAAACTGGAGTATGCTTTTGCCGATAGAAAATTTATACGAAGAAATACGAGCAATTGAGTCATAGTCACTTCAAAATCTTGCAAAGCATTCATAAATTTGCACATTTTGCCATACTTGTTCAACTTTGACATTCAATAAGTTTTCTTTGATACCAAATCCAGTTAAACGTATCCTAGAGAAAGATAGATCTCTG